GGCGCCGGGGTAGTAGGGAGCTTCAGTGAGTCCCAGGAAGAAGCGAGTGAGCAGGAGGCCCTTGAAGTCCTTGGAGACGGCTGTGAGAGCGCTCACAACGGCCCAAAGCATCATCATGCTGCCCTGTTTTCCCATGTCTTAGTCTATAATCCGAATATTGTCACTGATATGTTCAACTTACCATGTAGCGACTGGGGCGAGTGCGAGTGAGGAACATGTTGGAGGGGATCTGGCCAAGGATGTAGCCGACGAAGAGGATAGAAACGCAAGTTTGATATTCTGCAAGTCGATTATTGTCAGTAGGAGTCACGAGACGTGGTAGCTAGAGCTGCAACATACGCGTGCCCTCAAGCTTAAGATCCTCCTCGAGATCGTTCAAACGGGCCAGGGCGATGGCATTACGATCAAGGTAGTTGAGCCAATACATGCTCCAGAGCATTGGCTGTCATGGTCAGCATATTAAACATCGATCGGATGCTCAAGAGAGGCAAACTCACCATGATCCACCGATCTAGCTTCTTGACAAGAGCAATCTCCTTAGGGTCAGTCTTCTCGTGAGCTCCCGAGTAGTCGACCTTTTCGACAATGGGAACGGGCTTCTCAGGATGCTCATCCTGGAAGATCTGAGGCTCGGACTGGACTTTGGACAGATCCATGGTGAAGGTGAATGAAGAGACAAGACAAGTTGGTGTTGAAGCTTAGAGCTGATGATGAATGCGCGACCAGACTGGGGCGTCTTGACCTGCTGAGAAGAGGAATCGGAAGTATTGCGGGGTGGCCAAAGGACTTATATATTCCCCCGACACGGGGAGGCAGCGCCCGCAAGGACGAGGTTAGTTGACGCCTCCGCATTCACTAGAAAGCATAGGCGAGTGGCAAGCGGATACAACCCTTGCCCAGACGTAGTAGTCGGGCAACCCCATGCCTCCGATCAGTCCCGACCGAACGAGCTATCGTCATTCTCCCAACGACAAGGCTGCTGCGAGCTTATGCAGGATGACAAAAACGCGCTTGACACTGGTGCAACAAATGAAAGGCTGGAGAGCCTATAGCCAGGATCGGCGCCTCCGCGCCATGTGTGATGTCGTGTGCGTCTATGTTGTGTTGGTGTGTACGCTATGTCTCGTGTCGAGCCAAGACGAAGACTTCTCGGACCACAGACGATCCGCTCGTTGGACGAACTCGCCTGTTAGGCATATGGGGAAAGAAAAGGCAAACGAACGAACGGAACCTGGGGTTCGCAGTGTTGCATGGAGATTAGGCCTCACGCAAGATCCCTCCTCCCCGCACTCGCTAGGCCAGGACAGGAAGGTCTCAACTACCGAGACGGCCATGATTGGGTCGTCGTCTCAGGGGACGAGTGATCTTCCCCGCATGGAGTCGCAGCGGGGGAGGGTCGGGGAGGGATGTGAGAGGGTCGAGTGGAGGGATCTAAGAGGGCTTGAGGGAGGGATCTTGGAGGGGCTGAGAGGGCATCTAACGGGGTTCTCACAAGGTCAGGCAGGGGGTCTTACAAGGTCGACGCAGCGTTCTAACCAGCTCAAGGAAGCATCCAACAGGGTCAAGGATTGGATCTTACCGGGTCAGGCTAGTGAGGGAAGCATCTGACTGGGTCTAAGAGGGTCTGGAAGGGTTCCACGAGGGTCTGGAATCCTTTGGAAGCGGAGACCGCGTCAACCTTAAGTCGAGCTTATTTGGCTGGCTGCACACTGGCCTACCGAACCAACCCTCCCTTGCGAGTACCTTACCCTCGCTCTCGCCAGCCAAGCGGCCGCTTGTTGGTAGCTAACCTTAGTCTTCACCTTGGCACTCCGTCCTATTCGACTAAACTAGTCAATCAGAAAGCCCGGCGCTCGAACATGATTCAGGCCAAGCCGCGACACAGGCCACATGGCGCCTTGGCCTAGCCTGCTGCGTCATTTCCCTGCATCTTCCGTCTCACTGCTTCTCCTCCTCTTCACTCGCCTCCTCACTCTTCCCGCCGGCGCTACTCTCGGACCTTTTTACTATTCGGGAGAGCTGGATATGTGGTTTTTGGAGCGATGGGAAAATCCCCGTGTTGGAGGAGAGCAGCGCGAGTCGTAAAAACCCGGGTTGGCACATTTCCAACGTCGGAACGAATCGTAGCAGCCACCCAGCACCCAGCCGATCCTTATCGTTGAAATGCTACCACGCACCAAAAAGAAAGATAGCACTAAATACAAGCACAGCCCCGTATCTAACGAACAGACGGCCCAGGCTTTGGGGGGGGAGATCCGGGGGAAATCGGGTCATGGCAGCACAGCTGAAAAGGCAACGCAAATGCGGGGGATGACGCTTCGACGGGGCACAACCTGGGCTCGTTTAGATGGCAGATTTGAGCGGGGAGATGCAACTCGCCAACATGGAGCATGGCCCAGGGCCACTCCATTGGGTATATTGCAGTGTTTCATGCGTTGGGGCCACGTGCTTGGCCGTGAGATGCGTACGTACGTATTTGCATTACGCTCAGGTCAGATTTCCCGTTCATCAGGAGAGTCACGCTGATGACACCTTTCGATGAATAATATTCGCCACATGTAGGCTCATCTCATGGGTGCTTTGGACGCATCATCACGACAACCAACCGTCCTAAGCGACAATTATGGCCTCCTCCAGTCCAGACCCCAACTTGCCAAGCAGTTTAGCACAGGAATAAGCCGTCCGTCCACCTCCTCACTCCCCCGTTTTTCGTAGCCCCACGTACACAGTTCAAACGTGGCGATGGGGTAAGTGCGTCTTTTGGTTCGGACTCCAGAAGTAACATCTCCGGCTCCTGCGACTGCATAAGCGGTCAAGCGGCCATGCGGCGGTCAGGACGGTGGCGAACCGGGTCCCCCCACAGCAAAGAGACATTTCTACGTCCCCTCCCCCTCCGCCCCCTGTACTGCATTGTAGGGAATCCCCCATGTCCCTCCACCGGCGGGGGAACTAGGGCTTGGAGAAAAGAGGGGGAAATCTGTCGAATCTCGCTGCACCCGGACTTTAACGTATATGGGGATACCACTTATACCCCAGCCTTTTTTCTTTCTTTTTTTGCATGACAGGGAGCAGCGTCTGCGTAGACTTCTCTGAGATTGACATTTCTTTCACAGCATAGGGCTTGGCTGCGTGATGGCGAGGGTGACGAGCGGGGAATAATCAGCAGGTTGGGCTCCTCGACATCTTGGCGCGAAGCAGGGCTGTCGTCGAGAACGGGCCATTGCTGCGCTCGTGACGCGATTTTTCAAACGAGAGCTCAACGCATGAGGCGGGAGCAAAAACGCGGTGTTTCTGTCTTTCGAGGAAAAGGAGACTTGTATTTTGGAATTCCTTTCGACTCGGCCGTGCGCTTTCAGACTGGTCGCGCTTGTCAACCTTTGTATCTCACTTGCCTGTCGTTCGATATTTCATATTCCATGTCTCGATCAGGCTTCTCGTAATCGGGGCTGACTCGTGTTGCTCTTTGATGCGATGGACGTGTCAAGGACGGTTCAGGCGAGCTTGTAGAGGCAGCTCTTCCGACACGAGGGATGTCCTTCCACCATCCAAATGCTGCTGCCTCAGGCACAACAACCCGGACGTTCCCGTATCACAGTTACTAGGAGGGTTCCGCTAGAAAACAGTTTCATTGCCTCTCTCGGATCTCCACGGGTCAGTGTTGATTATCTAGGAAAGTTCCGCGCTTGGATGCAAGGCGTCGGATCCCCGGCAGCCCTCCAGGTCCTAGATGTGGAGTCAGCTGAACAGATGCGAAGTTCCTCTCAAGTAGTAGCCGCTCTGGTGGTTGTCAGCTTGTGTAAGTGTGGTGTGTCAGAGTGTTGTGTCGTGATCGATGTGATGGCTGTTGTGCTCAGGCATCGTGGCGCCCATCCATGTATCTTCGGTTCGGGCATGAACTACCATTTCAAATCTAGTCGCTCATGAACCAAGCAATCTCGCTCATTCTGTTTGAATGTGAGGGAATATAAACACTTGGTCGACTTTCCCCTTGAGCCCTGAGGGAACATAAAAGCTCACTCGTCTTCCAGGCTTCAATGACTCTAATCAAAGCGATTCCCAGAGATGAGCTTCCACTCAGGGGTCCAGCAATTACGGAATGATCCCACCTGAATGTAGACCACGCCACATTTCGGTCAAGCTTCTACATGCCCCAAGCCTCACTCTGTCATGGCTGAATATTCGATCAACTAGAGTGTTTCAGTGAACAGGGCCAGGCGCCAGAAGCAAGGTGACAATTTCTACGCGCGGTCAGCGAGGTGGCAAATTGTCACGGCATCTTGTCATCCGATGGAGCCGATGAGTTATTCGAGAGTGCTCCCGTCAGCGACGGGACAGCATGGACGTACTCGTTTCGACCCCCAGGAGAAGGGCATTCGCTGTCTGGGCAGTTTCCCACCGTTGCGCCAGAGTTCGTGCGAGCCCGCGGGACCTTAGATCGGCGTATGCCGGCCAAAAGATGTTTACCTTTCGTGCTTTTGCTGATCTCTACCAAGACGAGAGCATCCGGGATGTCTGTCTGCCTTGTGGCAACAAAACGTCTGGGAGGGTTTTCTAGCTTGAGCAAGACTGCAGGAGTACTTGCCCTTTGATTCAGGATTGAACTATTCGTTCGAGTCCGGATGTGACAGTTGTCGTTGTGAGTGGGCGAATGGAAGAAGAGTGTCGTACGGTTGTGGTCGCGATGATGTTTTTCCGACACAGTTCATGCTACGCCATTGCACACTTTTACCACCAGCTACGCAACATATGTTTGCTTCCCACACCTAGAATGAGATTGAATGTTGTTATCTATGCCGTCACCATCCAGCAAAAAATTACATTCGCTGGTAGAGTTGATGGCAACGCCAATAGCGGAAACAATGGGGGCGAACATCATGACAAGAGGCAAAGGAGACATGCAGCAAAAAGGTTCGCAGGTCCATGACAGACCCACTACATCCTCCCCCTAATGTAAACCAAAGGGGAATTCGCCCTCAAGTTTGCTCAAGGGAACAAGGGAATATAGCGACCTGGAGTCGAACCAGGAATCTTGGTAAGGCTACAAGCCAGACCCGAGCGTTAACCTGTTACGCCACCGCTACATCTCTTGTTGGAGGGGGGAGCTGGTGTTCTGGTTAAGTTTTTGTAGTCAATTGTGATATCTAGGAAGGAGGGGGATGAGGTTGGTGGTGATGGCGATGAGTGCTCCTTCCTTCTTTGCGTCTTGATGTGATGGTGTGGCTTCTTGGTGGAATGTCCAGGCGTTGTGGCGACGCGGCTCCAGCCACACGTGCCAACTTCGGTGCGCCGTAAACCACACACTTAACGGTCGCCTCGCGCCAGCATGCGCTGGAGCACAAAATCCCATTTGGGATCATCAAGATCAATGCAGGATATCAGAGAGGAGATGCTGATTTTCGAGACCACTTGGTGGGAAATTGTAAAGCATAGATGCCGGATTATCTTGCAGCCGCGCCCCATCTATCTAAACTCCGCGGAGATCACATGATCTGAGCGATGATAAAGCGGAGGAGGATCGTGTGCTGCTGTAGGGTAGGACCATCTGAACTATTACGACGGATCTATAGACCAACAATTATAAGTTGCGCAGGAGACCATCCCCACGAATATAGTCTCTCGGAAGTGTTGGAAGTATCACACACTCGTCATGTCACTCGATAGGACACACCGGGTATAGGATACAATAGTGTTGGAAAACGTACAGAATAGCTAGAGGATGTAGGAGGGTTCCTGCCCTTAAATACAGTGTGTGCATTCCCAGCAGTTCCCTTGGTAACCTCATTCCCCCAGTCAATCAGTTGCTAGGGCCGGCTTGTTAGGAACGCGATGTCTTGTATCGCGACATGCGTCACATTCCGTGGTGACTTGCTAGCAGCAACAGGAAGATTAGACTACTGCGGCTACGGAATTATAGCAGCGCTGGCTGGACAATGGGACATTGACTTTTACAACGCCTAGATCAGATCAAGCCAATGGCTTAAGGGTCTTGATCACTACTCAAGTGTAATCATTGAAGGTTGTCCTAGGCAAAGCAACTACATATCGCCACCTAACGGAGACAGAGGGTAGATACATGCAATGCTGGGGGACATGGCCATGGTCGTGTTCGCTGGGAGGGAGAGAGTTGCAGCAATCGACTGAGTAAGATCCCTCGTTCAAGTACCCTACCCTAAAGCCGTACACGATTTCGCTTCGCCATCACTCAGATCATGTGACTACCAGTCTTCTAGTTCTCTGACCTCTCGTACCTACTTGGATAAAATTGAGAGAATGCTAGGGTATGCTAACCGCATCTCGTTCTTGTCTTCTCTTATCGCATCTTGAACCATGTGGATACAGAGGTCAGCTCACTGGAGTTTGGAATCTGAACTCAGGGAAACGAGCACGCCACTCCCAGAGACACGGTAATTAACAGAACATGGGATTTGATCCAACGGATTGCTGTCTGATGGCTCCCTGCACCAGTTGCTCTATGGGAGAAGTGAAAAACAAACTTTTCTATCATTTCAGTTTCGGAAGGTCTATTTTATCACCGATACAATTGTGCGTTTGAAGGTTGTTGAGGCAATGTGAACCCAGTCACTTTGTCTGGCGAGGCTCTGACCATACGTGACCGCACCCTTTTGGCTTACGACCGTTACGGTTCTTGTTTTCTTGTCAAACGAGCAATTTGACTTCGGATTTTTTAGTTCAATCCCTCCAGATTCCGGAAGCCAAGAATTCAGCCCTTTTCGGGTTGGGATTAACCAGCAGTAGTCTGTTGAAGTTGGCTTAATCGCCTTGTGCGAGTGTTGGCACTCGCATTGAACAACAGAAATGTCATGTTCGAAGCCATCATTCTCAGCCGCAAACAGCCCTCCGTAATAGCGCGGGAAAATCGTGAAGCAGGCTGCGCCGCTAACACTGTAATTCCAATTGTTGCCAATCGCCGTCGATGTTTGCCGCCCGTATGTTGTGCGGCTGTCTTGGCACCATGTGGAGGCCGGGCAATACGTGGGGGCGAGAGACATCGTCGTGTTCCTTGGAATAGAGTTGGAGCAATTGATCGAGTAAGATTCCTCGTGTGAGTACCGGCTGATAGCGTCCATTGTACCGACCACGGCATTGTTTCAGCCCAAAGCCCTCTCCTCCTCATGGGATATCATGTCCTCGTGGGGCGGCATGGCACGGTGTCGATCTTGACAGGTCAACTCAAACAGAAGTCACTTGGTCAAAGATGAATTGATTTGGAGGGGTATCTAAACACTTGTTAATTCGAATTGTGCGCCGACCGACTCCATTCGCCGCTAGCGATGCCACGGGGGGTTAATAATGACCATCCGGTCTCTCCCTCGTTCTATACGTGTAAATCCTTTGTAACCAACACGTCGTGTTGTCCTCTCTCTCCCCTGTATCACCCAGTCCCTTCAAATCTCAACTATGGGGCCTCGTATAGTCCCGTCGGCCCTGTGTGCGGCCTCTGCGGCGGCGCGTGATTCCAGCCCGCGGAAGCTAGTTCGTGCGTCTTGATCTCATCTGGCGGCGGCGATTGATGGCTCTGCTGGTACTGTCCACCGGTGCCAGCTCTTTGACGACGCTTCCAGAAGAAAAAGCCCAGGCCGGCGAGGGCGGCGATGCCCACAACGGCTGACCCGACGCCGATACCCGCGATGGCGCCCGTCGACAGGCCCGAGTCGTCACTCGTCGGTTCTGCCGACGCTGATGTTGTTTCCGCGCCTGTCGTCGTTGCGCTTGCTGCGGACGTGGATGTTCCTGTTCCTGTTCCTGTTGATGTCGCTGATTGTGTCGCCGAGGTTGTCGTGGAGTCCTCTGGCACTGTGACGTTGAAGTAGTGGCTGGTCGCGGCTAGGTTGGTGTCACCGGTTTCGTACATGCCCATGTAGAGGATGACCTGCTCGCCATCATCGACGGTTGTGTTGAAGCCCTCGAGACTGACTTCCCAGTCAATTGAAAGACGAGTCGTGTGGTCTGCATCAAAGTCAGTGCGTTGTTACCACCCGAGTTGGGGGATCGAAGCATACCAACCAGTCTCACAAAGCCCGAGCCGATTCCAGCAGGGTACTGTTGCCAGATGACAATATCCATGCTCGAAAGATCCGACGTCCATTCTACACTGATCGTCTTGCCAACTTTGTACGTTGGGTTGTCCTGGTAGTTGTAGGCAGGGCCGCCGCTGGGCGGCAGCACGAACGAGGCGTCGGACCGCACGCCGGCGACCAAGGCGCCGAGCAGAACACCAACAAGTCCCGCGTAATGATACATGGCGTTCGTTCGATATTATCGCAGAATTGTAGGTCGCAAGGAAGAGTCGTGGTCGATTCCAACCCGAAGGCGAAGGGGGGAGTAAAGGCGGAGAGCGACCGTGTCCAGGCCTATCACGCCAGGTTTAAAGATCGGACGAGTGAAAGAAAAAACAGTCCCGTCCTCCGCGCGGTTATCAGGCTGGGGGAATGAACCCCCTTGTATGTTTCGAATTGCTTGTTGTCAAGTCTGTGGAGCTGTCCGGATCGGCGGCAATACAATACAAGTTTGAACTCCGGTCCAGCCCAGCTCGCCAGCCTTAGCGGTTGGAAAGCACTGTTAGGAAATGGCAAGGCAGGCTGCGTACGAAGTAAGAAACCAGCCCCCAAACAAGGGAACCCCTGAATGCTCGACTCCAGTTAAAAGTCGTACTTAACCCAATAGACACTCGGGAGCGGTAAGCCCTACGCTGGGCTGGTGATAGCGCGACAGGCTTGCCGCTCCTTCGGCCGCGCGCACGGCCACCCTGGGAATAGAACCCGGCTTCAGCACTGGTCAGTCTGGGTAGCTAGAGGTTTTAGTTGCTGGAGACTGGGCGCTTCTGTGAGAGGTGAGAGAGCATACAGTGATAGTGGGAGAGAGAAAGCCTGAGACTGGAGCTCGTTTGCAGCGAGTCTCTAGCCCCGGCCTGGCGCCGGAGATGACGGCTGTACGTAGGATTCAGCGAGTGGGTTGCTGTGAATCTCTTCATTTCCCACATATGTTTCTGCTGTGTGAGGTCGGGATTATACCTGTACCCAAGGTAGGAATAATGACGCCTAGGACTGTCTACTGCCTGCTAACGTGCTGGCGATGCAATTGTAGGACCAGTACTCCGTAGGACCAGAGAGGGGCAGGGAATGCAGGCCAACAGGTCGCGTGCTCCAGGGCCGCCATTTCCGGCATATCTCCTGCAAGCACCAATGCCCCTGGACCTGCGTCCTAGTGGGATCAACACAACACAGCCTCTATCACTTAGCCACATTTCTTTTGCCTGGGGACCCGATGCTGCCGATCCAGCCCTGAATTATCGCGACCAGGTCTGTGAGAAGGGCCTGCGAGAAGCATCGACAGACGTGACATAAATACCTCACGTACCGGCGAATTGCCCATGGTCTCGGTCTTTGGGAAGGCACTCTTTGGGCGGATGACAGCACCATCCGTGCATTATTATGTAACGCATCTCATCTTTGCTCAGAATGATTTATAGCCTGAGCTACTCCGTAATACAGTACGAGATAAGACAATGACCTCACCATCCGCGCGCTAACTTAACTAATCAACTCACCCGCCGGTGGCTATGGCTGTGGCTTTAAATTCATGATGGCTGGGTGTCGTCTGGCATGGACAAAAATAGCGTGCCATGTTCAATTTCTCCTCTGGGCTTACAGCCATGATCCCAATTGCATAATACAGTCCAGGTATAGCTAGTTCGTGACTAGAATGAATCCTCCCGCACGGCATGCCCAAAGTGGTCGGATGATGACATTCGCTTTCTGATCCTTCCAAGTAAGCGACCGGTCGAGGTCGTCTGCCACGCGTTACATTAACGAGGGGGTCAGCCTCAATCAATTATATTGGGCGCGTCAGCAGTTACAAGTGGCAGCCCTTATTACTGCCATCAACAGTTCAAACATTCCACGCGTGATGAGAGACGTCGAGCCTGCTCAGTCAAGCCTAGGTGCGGATCCGACGCGATCCGGTCACAGAACTGCGCCAGAACTGTCTGACCAGCCACAGCGTTTCAGCCTCCATAATCGCCAGTGTAGGATGAATCATCACCTTCCAATTCGACGAAAAC